ATCTGAAAATATTCCTGAATTTATAGTACATTTTCTTAATCAACTTAGAACTGAAGGCACAAGTAATGCTATGAGAGATGCTAGGCTCTGTTACTCAAAGGGTACAAATACAACTTATTTGCTTGTTAGAAATAACTTTTTAACTTATATTCCCACCCACTTGATGTGTGTGCTGGTGTCCCAGGAGGCCAGAAGAGTGTGTCCCCCTGGAGCTGGAGTTATAGGCAATTGTGAAACACACAGCATGGGTACTGGGAACTGAAAGCTGGTCCTCTCAAACAGTCACAAGCACTCTTAACCACTAGGTTATTTATCATTTATCATCTTATTTATCATCTTATTTATCTCTACAAAGAAGGAAAATGACTTCCACAGGGTCACAGGGTCATCTACTGAGCTGCCTAGGGCAAGAGCTCTGCTTGAATCCTGACACTGAACACGGGACCAAGTCCCATCTTTTCAGCTTCTCCAACTTCAGTTTTTTCCCCCTAAGATCCATTAGAAATAAACCATGCTTTAAAAAGTTAATTTTATAACATAAGCACTTTTGTCCATTTGTAACCAATCACTCTGTTACAAGGAAGTTAAGAAGCAGTTGAGCCAATTTTTTTAAACATGTAAATGAAAACAAATTACCTAACCTGCCGGCACTTGGACTTCCCCATCTACACTAAGTAAGATACCAGCCTTGCTGTCTTCCACAGAACATTAGCAAGTCATGGCCTGGAGGAAAGTAGGCAGCTTGGGAGTCAGCTTTAGCCGGCACAGACACAACAGCCACTGGGTGCCTTTTCCAGACCTGATCAGCCCAGGAGAGTACCACCCACAATGCAACATCTGAAAGCCATTGTCCCTGCTTCATTCATTGTCCAGCTTGGAGCCGGAGAGTTAGCACCGTAATTAAGAGCATTTGCTGCTCTAGCAGAGGACCTGGGCTTGAATCCCAGCACCCAATGGCAACTCATAATCACCAGTAACTCCAGTTCTAAGGGATCCAACACCCTCGTCTGACAATTACACAGGCACATGCATAGTTCACATACATACATGTAGGCAAAACATCTATACAATAAAATAATAAATAAATCTAAAAACTTTAAAAAGCAACCAGAACCTGTTTTTAAAAAGAAAATTAACCTCCGTGGCCAGTATCCTAGAGGTTTGGGAAGGGAGGCCCAAGCTTCCGCTTCAGGTCATTCTCTTGGGTCCATCTGCCTCCCTTCTCCCAGCTCAGCCTTGATCAGCCGGAGCGGCTAACTCTTCTGAAGTGATTTACTGTGCAGGATGCATGCATGCATGCATGCAGCTCGGGTCCTTTATGCACACAGGGCAGTTTTAGATCTGTCTTCCTTTTTATAACCTGACTGATGAGCCCTGCTTTTCCAACCTTTATGACACGATGTAGAACTCTACTTGAATCTGGAAATAACCCTCTTGAAAATCAGAAAGACCTCTGGCTACAGAGTAACCATTATTAAGCACCCCCTCGGGGTCCTTGGGCAAGGGCACAAACACTTAGTATAAAACCACAGGCTCTTAGCAAAGGGTTCCCCAGGACTCAAGGGGCAAATAAGTGGCAACTCCAACTAAGAGCATCCCCTTATCGCTGGCTCCGCCTCTTCCTGTCTTTTTTTTAGTTGTCAGCACAGCCCAGCAGCAAGTGATTTCAGCATGGGCGTGGACTTCTCTGAAGGTTTCCCTTGAAAGCTACTAGAGGAAATGTGAAATTACATAGAGGAGGCCACACACACACACACACACACACACACACACACACACACACCGGGGAGGGGGGGCTACACTGTTGAAACAAGAACCAACAGAAAAACATTTCAGAGAGCAGTTAAACACTACATGACAGCAGGGAGTCAAAGGTGAGTCTTAAATGAGATTCTAGATAGAAAAGACTAGTTTATATCCATTTATTGTTAGAAATTTGGGCTGTGATATTTAAGTTTCTCACAAAAACAGATGAAAGCACAAAGGAGTAGTAAAACAAAAATGAATAGAAATGTACACACACACACACACACACACACACACACACACACACACACACAATGCATATAAAATACCCTATATAAGTATGTTTAAAAACAGGGCAAATTCAGCATCTAGTGTTTAGAATGCCTAGTCTGTAAAACTATGAGGAAAAGCACAGAGTAATTACTGGCTGTCAGGACAGGGTTATATCACCAAGCTTCTATGCACCACCAACATTGTATATCCTGGTCAGGGTGCAGCTCTACAGGTGTTCATTTCATAAAGGAAAAAAACCCCAAAAAAAAAAAAAAAAAAAAAAAAAAAGAGTATCTCCTGTGCACATACTATGGAGTTCTACTAGGCTTCATCACTTTAACAAAAGACTGGGGCCAACACCAGAATAATCCACGCAAGAGAAAACAAACATGGTTATTTAAATAAGAGGCACTCCTCTCCCTGCCTAATTTTATGGTTTGCTTTGGTGTGGAGCCTGCAAGTCTACTTACACAAAAAAAACGTACTTGCAAACTGTATCTGCCCAGGATAATAAATGTGGCACACAGCAGCCAGAAGGTGGGCAGAGCTCTTACCAATGCTCGCTCCTCACCATTATGCTCTGTTTACAGAGCACTAGACATTCTTCAACTGGTAGCCAAGGGCTGCTGTTACCCCACTGCAGTGATTAAAAAAATAAATAAACTCTGGGTGCTTACCTTAGGTACCGCTTGGACAAGAACTAGACTCCAGACCAATGCCAGATCCCAGACCACCCATGACACATTCTCTTAATGACAATCACTTTCTCAGTCCCAAGAGGTGAACAGAGGCAGTGATAAGGTGAAGAGGCAAGTAAATTATAGCCAGTATCACAATGACAATGTCTCTGAGTCATTTTCACTTTTCAATTAAAACACTTGCCAAAGGCATAATGAAGATTAGCTTCCCTCTAGAGCTGTATCCTGTCAGGTCTGAGGAGTTTGCATTTGGCATGTGCTCATTCACCATGAGTGTGGAGTATGGACTAGGGATGTAGCTCAGTTGGTAGGGTGCTTGCCTAGCATGCATGACGTCTGGGTTCAATCCCCTGCGCTATGTGCCACACATCCCAGCACTCAGAAGGTGGGAGGCAGGAAGATCAGAAGTTCTTGTCGACATACAGAGTTCAAAATCACCCTGAGATACAACATGAGAGTCTATTTCAAAATAAAAAGGAGTAAAATTAATTAATGCATGAAGGTCCAAAGCAATGGATTCGGTGTGTTTTCCAGTCCATGCCAGCTTCATTTCTACACTGTGCCGGATGGACCATTGTGCTATTTTCCCAGTGGTGTTAGAAGCAGCCAAATGACAAGCCAAGACTACCCTTCCAACAGACTGCCACTGTATCCTCCCCTGCTTAAAAAGAAGGTTTCTTGGAAATGGAGAGGACTGACAGGTTAATTATAGACACAAAGAGCGGGAACAACTGGCCTATGAGGTAACCAACTCTAAATGTGCAGAGGCAGTGCCCTCCATAGGGAAGCATTTGCATTCTGTCTGCAAGGACACACTAGGAACAGTCAGGTGCAGTCCTGGGCCAGGCTTAGTCTAACAGGTCAGGTTGGCTAAGACACAGTTCCCGTACTTGAGAAGTTTGACTGGAGGGTGGGAAAGCATCTCATATCTCCAATAACAAAGAAATCTCTGGACGATGACATGGTCAAGGGGAAAACCAGGCTGCCTGCTCATTTGGAGTAGGATAGTCAAAGAGCTGGTTGCTGAGCCAGGCCCACCTGTAAGAAAGCCTGAGCTGCAGGCCCTGCGGCTGGCAGAAAGGCCAAGGGGAGCCAGGAGTGCTTCTGCAACTCCCATCCATCTCCTTCAGGGGCTGGAAGCATGGCCTTACGTCAAGAGGACCCATTAGGATCTTTAGCTTCTACTTCCATCCCAGAATCCCTCTAAGAAAAGAGGGGTATTTCCAAAACTGGGGAACCAAGTTTAAGGTCAGCTTCAGCAAGCAAACGTACCAAAGAATAGAATGTGGTCCCTCTAGACCAAGCATTGCTGAAGTTTCCCCCTCTCTCCTTAATCAGAAGATATTTAGTAAGACACACACACACACACACACACACACACACACACACACACACACACACACCCATTCTATCTGAAGGAGCAAAAAACGTTGACTATCACTGGGAAATAGACCTTGTTTGGCCCAGATCACATACCCAAAGTGTGGACCTTCAAATGCTGAGCCCTAGTCTCACAGGGGGTTACATTTCATTTATGGATCACAAGTCTAGCAGTCTGTGATGGGCCACCAGCCCTCCCGGAGATGAGGCCCAGCTAAGAGGTTTTCAGTCATCGCCACCACACACAGGGTTGGAACTACTCTTCCAGGAGGAAATGAACTTATCACAGATAACCTGGAGGACAGAAAGGTGATCTAAGCACCTGAGGCAGAGCGAGTCTACTGAAGGTTTATCTGGGGTTACTTCCCAACTCCGCTGTTTCCTGTGAAAGGCTTTACAGAGCTGAGAGCCAGCAGCTATGGGGTCAGACCTTCAGAGTGTAAAGTAGTTGTTTCAGTTCTTAGCTAAAAGAATCCCACTCGCCTTCCAGGGAACTCCTCTGTACTCCCATTCACCTTCCAGGACTTTCTGCTGCTTCCAATCAGCGCTCCCCAGCTCTTCCACTGTGAAGAACAGGGCGTGCTAACTCCCAGCGCGCGGGGTCTGCGGAGCTCCAAGTCTACACGCCCGGGCACAAAGAGCGTCTGCGTGCCATGCCACGCTTCCGGGGCGCAGAAAGAAAACTGTCTTTGGCCTTGGCGCGGCAAGCAAGGAGCCCGCTTGCCCCGGAGCGAAGTGGCGGGGAAGGGACAGCGGATGGCACAGAGCGCTCAGAGCACAGCGCACCTTGATGTGCCCCGCCGCGGTCGCCGCGGGCTCCAACCTCCCCGACTCCCCTCCGGGCGCAGCGCCGCCACCCTACCGAAGCGCCCGGTTCCCACGCGCGTCCCAGGACACTCTTACCCGGGAAATGGCGAGAGGTTGCTCGAAGTCCTTGCCGCCTACGAGGCGGAAACCCCAGGGTCCCGGGCCCTGAAGGACAATTTGCTGGGTGGTCATCGCTAGGCACAATCAGAGGGGACAGACGGGCCAGGCACGGAACAGCAGGGCGCGCAGAGCTCCCAGAGCAGCTGTCGGAGAAAGAGCGCGCCGCGCGGGTTGGGAGCTCCTGGAGCGGGCGGGGACGCGAGCGAGGGCGGGGACAGATCCGCCCTCAACCGTGTCGCTGCAGCCCCGCCCGGTCTCAGCCTCCACTCCCAACGCGTTCACAGTACCTCGCCAGACTCAGGTCGCCCGGTCGGGCTCTGCGGCTCCGCCCAGCACCCCCGCACCTCCTCCCGCGTCGCCTCCGCGCTACCCACAGCCGCTCTGCGGCTCCCAGCCGGGTGTGCGGGCTGGGTGAGACCTGAACCGTGTCCCTACTCACGGTGGGTCCTACAAACCCACGCAGTGTGCTTTGCAAAAAGCCGAAAAGGGCTGAGTGAAGTCACAGCCGTTTTCACTTTTGCTTTTTGGACATTATAGGGAAGTGTAAGAGGTACCTTCAACGATCTCTCGTGACGCTATGAGAAGGCTCTCTAGTCTCATTTTACAGATGAAGTAATTGAGGCTACCGGACGATAAAAGACACCCCTAAGGCTACACAGCAATTAGGGGCTGCTACAGAATCACTTCCCAGGCTCCTTGTGCTACCCTGGAAGTCTTCCAAATGCTAATAAGTCTATAACGGGGAAGGGGGTTATAATTAGGCTCCAGGACTTTCCTAGAAACCTTTCCTCCCGGCTAGAGTTGGAAACGGAGGCAGGTTCTGATCTTCCCAACAGCTCAGTCCTGATGTGCTGGATGGACCAATGCCTGGAACGCTTCCTAACCCTTTCTGCTGTGAACTACCCCAGAAGCACGTTCCAACCTTAGCCACACAGGCCTCCTACTCAGAGCCTTGCCACCACCAGGCCTTCATCGAGAATACCCTTTTCCTTCAGACATGCCAAGGCTTTTTTTCGTACAGATACCATCTTCTTACTAAGATCGTTTCTGAGAGCCATTTAAACATCCTCTCTAAAACGCCTGTCTTCCCCTGCCTTAACCTTCTTCCTGTCACTATCCAGTCTACAGTTTACTTATCTGTTTGTCCCACCCACATTCCTAAGCACTAGTTTCAAGACTGGAAATGTTTTTGTTTTTTGTTTTGTTTTTTTTTTTCTGGCAAGCTGCTAGTCGCTGTGTTCTCAGGCTAGAACCACCACTTGATAGATTAGCCAACTCCAAGACCACTGACTCCCTCTGGACACCACAGTTCTTCTCGGTCCCATTCATTCTGGAAGCTGGACCCAGGTTGAATGAATCTGTAAAATGAACAGCTCCTGTGTCCTTGCCATTCTGGCCAACCTTCTGTGGCGCTCTGTATACAGATTTACACATGAAAGGATCATCTGGCCTCTCTCCCAGCACGAAGGCCTGTGTCCGGGAATGATTAGTTCATTCTTAGTAATCAACTTCATCCCGGTTTTCTAGATCAGATCTCCTCAAACTTTTTCCATTTTCAACTCCTTTTCACCCAGAACAAATTTACCTCAAGTATATAGGTATGTATAATAGGTATACACGCCAAACAATTACTGAAAAAGTCTGTTTATTTTATATTAGGGCAATGACTCTGTCAGTAGTGTTGGACTTCAGTGTGTGAGAACCTGAGTTTGATCCCCAGAATTCATGTGAAAGGCTGAGCTCAGTGACGACAGTCTGAAATCCCAGCCACTGCAGGATGGATGGGGGAGATGGGATCCTGGAGCCCCGGGTCTGCTTGGTGAAGTTCTAGGCCAATGAAAACCCCTGCTCAGACAAAAGGTGGAAGGTGTAACATGAATAATAATAAATGACCCAGAGACTGCTTGCTACTGGGGTTCAAACTTCAAGCTGAAGAACAGAAAAGCAAAGCAGAGGGTCACTAGCTCTTACCACTAACTTCAGGCTGAGTGGGCTGATCCTGCTGCCTCTCAGCATGGCTGGAGAATGAATGCCCCCTACCGAATACTGAAGACCCTGCCTCTATCTTTTATAGCCCTCTAGTGCTGGAATTAAAGGCAAGTGATCTGTTACTCTTTTCAACTGGTTCAATCTCATGTATCCCTGGGTGTCCTTGAGCTCAGAGAGATCGGTCTACCTCTTCTTACTCCTGAGTCCTAGGATTAAAGGTATGTACCACCACCTCCTAGCTTTTGGCTGCTGGGATTAAAGATGTGTGCCTGGCTCCTATGGCTTATAGCTGACTTTGCTTTCTGAATCCTCAGGCAAGCTCTAATAAATCATAAATAATATCTCACCACAGGAAGATGATGAATGACACCAAGGTTGTACTCTGACCCCTACTTGTACGTTCATACATGTGAATACATACTGTACCCACACATATGTATCCACACACAGGAACATACACAAAACCTTTTAAAGCTATTCTTTGGTATACACATAATTTTACTAGTTGTTTATGACAAAAAATTTTACCTGCTACCTATGGGGTAATGTTCTTGTTTATTTTTACATAAAGAATTAAATCCTGGCTGAATTCTTAATATGATAGGACATAGGGTAACTTCATCATTTTCTAGAATTGATCAATATTTTGATTTTATAATTGTCAGTGCCTAGAATGCCACTTTGCATCATGGCATTGTACAAAATGATAGGAATGTGTGTCTTGGGACACTTAAGAAATTGTTGGGAATTCTGTCCTAATCCCAAACTAACATTAATTGTACAATTTCTTATGCAACTCAAGTCAGCCACTCAAACAGCAATTTATTATGATTTTTACAGGTATTTGTGTGTGTGTGTGTGTGTGTGTGTGTGTGTGTGTGTGTGTGTGTGTGATCATACATATAACATAACACAGCATGTCTGTGGAGGTCATAGGACAATTTATAGGAGTCAGTTCTCTTCTTCCCCCTTGTAGATTTGGGGGTTCAAACCCAGTTGCCAGGTGTGGTGAAAAAAGCCTAACTCTACCCAATGGATCAATCTTCCTGGCCCTTGGTTTTTAGAGACAAGGTGTCACGTTTACACAAAGGCTAGCCTGGAACTTAGATTACAGACATAAGCCACCATGCCTGGCTCTGTATAACCATGCTTATAGGTAAGAGTAACTTCATTCAATACTCAATATAAAAAAAAAAAAAACAGGAAGGCACAAGGCTTTATGTCTCTGCATAATTTGGTAGCATCCGCAAAGGTCATCTATTTAGCAGTCTTGAATATTTTGTGTCTTAGTGAGAGAAAGTTGAAAGGCCACAGCTCCTGTGCTCCCCAAGGGCAGGGCCTGCCCCTTAGCCCCTTAGTCATCACCCCACCCCCACCCCCGTTTCCTGCTAGTGTGAATCTGTGGCATAGTGGGTGTCAATACGTTTTTACTGCACACAGCTTTGTTTGTATGCAGATATAGATATCTGAGGGCTGTCCCCTTTGCTTTGTTATTAAATGTCCTCAGCTGTTATCTGGGTCCACAGAACAAAAGACACACACAATGTCAATGTTTTCAGCCTCTCAGGGCACTGATTCCAAAGGCATGACTTAAAAGAAGAAAAGTTCTACTTACACGACAAAAAGCTCCAACCAACAAATAACAAAAGTGAGACTAAGTGTATTATGACCATGTGAAGAAATAGTGTGCAACATGAAAATGATAGAGCACTTACCCAACGCGCAGGAGAGCTTATGTTCACCCCCCCCCCCCAGAGTTCAAAATATGTGAAACGAATGGAACAAAATGGTTTGTATACCATGATTTTTAAAAGTATATATAGCTGGGGGCGGGGGGTGGGAGGGGGAGACGCGAGAAAATTCAAAAGATGACTTTGCACCGGGGAGACTTTTTAAAGCTAGTTTCCAGTAGTGGTGATGCAGTCTTCAGGATCAGCCAAGTGGTTTCAGCTCCTAGGACGCAGAAGAAATGCTAGTCTTCCTCGGGATGTGGCCTTGCTATCTGATCTCCCGTCCCTTCCTAATGGGCCAGCGCTGAGCAAAAGGCACACATTCAGAAAACAGAGCTGGCTCTAAAACTTGAGCCTTATCTTAGAAGCCATTACTTGTTTATCCACAATTAACAGTTCCTTCAGACGGTAGGTAGCCTGACTCCTGCCCCATACAACGGCCTCAAACAACCTCCGAACTTCAACCGCCTTGTTATTATAATGCATTCCATAGAGTTTGTTGTCCTAAACACCCTTCAACAAACATCTGGGTATCGGGAAAAGAGGAGACTGCAGGAGGAATGGAATGAGGGGGAAGAGGAGGGCCGAGAGGCAGGGCCCCAGGAGGAGGGAGTACAGTGGATCGCCCCACCCTTAAGCTTTCCAAAGCAGATTGGGCAGCCAGCAGAGGCTGTCCAGATTCTGCGTCTGGCCTCTGCTGAGCTGGCCACGCCCACGCCCGGAGTGGGACAGCGCTGAGTCAAAAGTCACTGTAAAGACCGAGGGTGTGGAGGGTTGGGCTTGGCTCTGGTCAACGCGTAGTCTCTAACTCTCCACAAGTTCTGGAATGAGAAAAGATCACATTAATATTGGTCAGTCAGGGACACGGTGGTACAAACCTGTGATCCCAGCTGGTGAAGGCAGGAAGATCAGAAATTCAAAACCAGCCTCAGATACATAATTCTAGGCTAGCCTATGCTATATCAGACCCTGTCTCAAAAATTAAGCTAAAAGAAACCACACAGTAAACAACAAAAGCACATTTTTCATATCTTGTGGAAGTATTTCTGTGGCTGCAGACAAATAACGCACATATTGTGGAATATTCTTTGAAGTTGTGTTACATTCATTTGTGCTATAGAATATTTGTTTAACAATGCAAAGATGTGTTGAATTCTTTATGTTGTATTTGTTTACCTCTATGAAGCTGTGTTACTTTGCCTGCCTAAAACACCTGATGGCTAATAAAGCAAGAATAAGCCTCTGTGTATTTTTTGGGGAGCTGGGTGGCAGTTCCCCCCTCCCCAAAAGAGTAAAGACCAAAGAGAAAAGACTAAAAAAGAAGACAACTGAATATACATACATCCTTCTCATCTGGAGGAGCTCCAGAGTCTAAATGTGAGACTCTATCAAACACAGAGTCACACATTGGCAGCCTCTCCAAGGAAAGAAAGATGCTTGGGGTCAGGGCTTCCTATCAGGCTGTATGTT